CGGCAAAGGTAAAAAGACTCATACAAGGAAAAATAGTTGGGACGACAAGGTTAGTGATTTTTTTAAATGTTAGGCGACCTCCAATGAGAAATGCCAAACAAAAGCAGGTCGCCCTAACTACATCAACAAGGTCCAATCGTTCTAAAAAGAAATCATGAATTTTGAATACTTCTTGAAGAATTGGGAGTGTGATGAAAAAGAATTACAAATTGAAGAAATTACAAGTTTGGACAAGAAGGGACAACATTTTAATTCCTTCATCATTTTATTCTACCGTTATGTTAGTGTTCTGATTTGTAATATCATCACAGAGTATGTTATAAACTCTGTGGTGATCACTGAATATTTGATTGTAGCTAGTTCTTTCCTTTTACATGCTTGCTAGTGAGGCTATTTTATTCCTCAATAGGATTAGTAAGGTAAGGTTTAGCCCGGTTTGTGTTATATGGGTAACAATACCGGTGCTATTGTCCCCCCTTATTTCTACTTTTCCTAATTGTTGTATTTTTCTTTTCTGTTATTAATAAAAAACTAGCCCTAGGCGCTTGCCTAGCGGATTGCCAAAAATAAAAAAATAAAAAATATCCACATATATACTTGTCACCTCATATATACGGTACCCTCATGTACGTAAAATAGTTCTAGTTTGGGAAAAATTTGCCCATTGAGGTCAAAGTATTAAATTACCTCGGTCTAAGGCTCTAAGCTCAGCTTAGCCTTCAAGAACAACATTTCCACGTTTGAAATCCACCAAACGATTCCAATCTATTCAAAACATTACTTAACGATGTTAAAAAAGTCTATTGCAACCAATTCCATAATTTAAGTCTCGGTCAAAGTCAAAGTCATGCCAAAAAGTCAACCCCGGGTCAACACGGTCGAGCCCTGAAACAAAAGTCAACTCTGGGTTGCCTATAACGGGTCCAAATCTATGCATAGATTATCATTTGGAGTTTGTTTAGATGCTCAAATTCTTAATTTAGTGTTTCTAGGATTTAGACCTAAAATCCCAATTCCTACCATTACATCCCATGTTTTAATGGTAAATCTTCAAGAAAAAACATGACATAAACTCAAGGAGATGATTAGAAGACTTACCCAACTCAGTTCGTAAATACCCAATTCAAATCTCCAATTCCCATAGCTTAGAACTCTAAAAATGGTTAAGAAATGGAGCTGGTTCGCGAAACTCAGCTATATATACCAGTCCAGGTTCTTCACTGAAGTTGCGATAAACTTCTGTAATCACAGACAATTCCCTAACGCTGGCCTATGCTATCTCACTCATAAACCACGCGACAACCGAGAGTGTCACGACCCAAATCTGGAAGACAGAGTACTCAAACGAGCCACTAACCGTTAGGCAAACCCTCTAAACTAAAACATGCTAAAAGCTTAGAAATAAAAAAGAAAGAATTCTACTAAAGTTGTCTGATAATAATAAAGTGCGACAACGAAGTACAACTATAATGTCAAAACATCACATAAAACCAACTAAAAGGCTAAATCATTGAGCACTAGGAATTGAATACAACTGATACGAGACGCAGCTCAATAAAGAAGTCATAACTGGAACAAAAAGAGCAGAGCTGAAGCTACATTCACGAAAAGTGGTGGCTCACGAAAAGAGGTTCCCCAATTACGATTAGTGACAAAGCATCATCTGCCTTCATCCCTTGTAAACCTTTCCCTTCTTCTTCTCTTGGCTCCTCGAGCATCAACATCTTTGCATGTGGTGAACTCCCCAAGTTTGCAACTACGTCTCCTTCGATGGTTTTCCTGGTTGGCTTCTTGTTCTCAATGCAAAACAACTTTCGTCTCTTGTAGAAAAGAGTCGAACCTTATGACCTCTGTGGGCTCAAGATATAATTAACTAATAATGACTTGGGCTACACAGTCAGGCTCAAGTGTGTTTTTAATACCTGGCCCATTGTTGGGCTCGGTGGACTGGCCCAAAAATAATGTTACTTCTCCCAAACCATCCTCCTGCATTGCACGTGCTTTCCCTTTATTTTTGGCATTAAACTCAGTACACCCCACGTGGCCCTCACCGTCCCATCTACAAAGAAAAGGCTATCTTGTACCCCTTCTACCTCGTAGGTCAACTTTGTCCGACGGTCCTTCAGAGGCTTCCATCTTGTGTTATCTCCGGCCCTAGTTAAAAGCGAGTTTGTCTTTCAGCCCATATTGGTATGAAGAATTTGACCCCCTCTCTCTCAATGACTACCTCATTCGGTATATTCAGGCCATCTCCTGCTACTTGAATTCTTGCCCACTTGAGATGGTTCTTGAGTTCTGTTTCTTCTTTCGTAGCTTTCCACCCACCACAAAGATCTCCTATTTCTTTGAATATCTTTTGTGACCACAGATGTAGGGGAACTCCCATGGCTCTGATCCAAGTAGTTTTGACAGATATGGAGTTGGAAAGACAACCAATGATGGAATTCCACCATTCGAGATACAGCTTGAATTTCTTCCAACTCCATTCTCCTTGGAGAATCTGCTCAGCATTTTTCTGTTGGGGAACTCAAACAGAAATAGATTCTCAGTCGTCTCATACATATTCACTACAAATGTTGTTTTCCACGTTATACAGGCCCATCTCCGAATGTCTGATATCTTCGGTCTCTTGGTTGTTTCGTTCCCAAAGTACCCAATGATACATCTTGTCAAAAGTCCGTTCTCCTTCAAAAGATCGTGATGTGTCTCCTTTATTAGAGCTGACAACTGCTTCACGAAGGTTGTTTGATTGCCATTTACTCTCTTGTACTACTGTGGCATATAGTGATGTGGCGTAAGTTTGAAATTCAGTTGGGAGGAGCATTTAATAAACCTTTCTATCTTAAATGCAATGTCTCTCCTTCCTGTATTCAAAGCAAGTTCAAGGATTATAATGACCTCACTATTGTCTCTCTTCCGTGACAATATATCTCCCATGGTCATTGTACTAACTAGTACAGAAATATTCAGTTAGCCTGTCCTTATTCTTCCATCTCCCTACCACATTCTTCTGGTCATTTGAGGCTTCTTTGAGTACATTACAGACCCATTCCGTAGTCTTTTTGCTTAGCGTGGAGCGTCTCATCACATTGCAACTTCTCTCCACCCAATCGAACCATGTATCTCTGTTGGAGGTCCATCTGGTGATATCAAAAGGTTTGAAGCCAGCGTTAAAATAAATTCTGTTTACCCCTATAAGAAATAACTTCCGTTTAAGAAAAAATTAAAAGAAAAGTTGGTATATCAGTAATCACAGTGGGTGAAAACAGGGTATAGGAAGAAAAGAGGAATTTTCCGGTACTGAACGATGCCGGAAAAGGTTGTTCTGCAATCCTAGGAAGTAGGGATGGCAAGCGGTGCGGTGCGGGTTTTCTCTTAACCCGCAAAATTTCAACCCGCCCCGCATAGCAGTTGCACCCGCGTTCACCCGCCCCGCATCCACTCTCGCCCCGCCCCGCATAACTGTTTTTTTCTTCATTTTGTTGGTTTTAAGTGTTCTCTTTTTATTTTTGCTTTTTACAATACTTTATAAGTTTTATATTTTCTTTGAGGCCAAAGTGCAAAAATCAATCTGCCATCTATGGGGCCATATGCAATAATTGACAAATTATAAACACATGTACAGTTAGAGTAGCTCTACAGCTCAGTTGCCATAGATCTATATTATGGAATTCCACATTTGATTATTAAACTGTTCAATTTGAACATTGAGTTGTTTTTCTCATCTAAGAATATTCTTTTCAAATTGTATCACGAAGATTTGTGACTATAATGATTATTGATTAATTTGCTTTTATGTATATGCAAGAATGAAAGGGGAAAAAGTGAAAATAAGACATATTACTATAATTTACTAAGAGAAAGATCAAGTTAGTATACTATATTTACTAAGAGTAAGTAAGATCAAATCATGATCTTTAACATATCAAAATCTCGTGTTTCGATTTATCAATAAAATAGATCTATAATCAATTAATAATTATGTGTTAGATATTACATTATCATAACTTGTCATAAAAGAATGCGAACTTGACGTGCAAACATTGGGTTCAAAGTTCAAACAATATGAAACTTTATTTTACTTCAATATATTACATGGAATCAATTTCATCTTAGAAAGTCAAAAAATTGAGTTCACTGTTTTGATAAAGTTTTTAAACCCGCACCCGCATAGATTTAATTTTTGTTTATTTTGACCCGCCCTGCCCCGCACCCACATATGTTTAAACCCGCACCACACCGCATGTGTCTAAACTCGCACCCGCACCGCCCCATTGCCATCCCTGTAGGAAGTAGGAAAGAGAAGAGTCTCAGGGAAAATGCCCAAGAGTCTCAAATTTTTCCTTCTCTATGCCATTGATATCTTTAAAATTTCACTTGCTGTGCATTGTTGGATTGACAGATTTAGTTTGCCAATCTGGACCTGGGTCCTGGCCTTCATATGTTTATGCTCAATCAGCACTATATCCTATGGCGAATAGTGCAGCTCAGGTTCACAGAATATTATCTAGTACATAATTCATTTTCTTCTATGTACCAGTTCCTTTAAGCAGTGAGTGATTTATATGGAGTTGAAGGTTTCTCTTTTCCAATGTGATTGTAGGATATTTTTGGTATTATTCCTGGAGATACAGACTACAGGATGTTTGCCCAAGATTTTGGCGATATTCCTGGACTGGATATTATCTTCCTCCTTGGTGGTTATTTTTATCATACCGCATCTGATACTGTTGAAAGACTATTGTATGCATCATAATTGCTGTTTTGGTATAGATCACCAAATTGAAATTTTAAGACTATTGCGTCTACTTGGATGCTTCCTCTAATACATGAGAATTCTTTCTTACCTAGACCTGGAAGCATTCAAGCACGTGGAGACAATTTATTAAGAATAATCAAAGCCTTCACAAACTCATCTAACCTGCAAAATGCCCATGAGAGGAGATTAAGATCTGCTGTCAATAGATCTGACAATGAACGTGCAGTTTTCTTTGATTACTTGTCATGGTTCTTGGTAAGCCAACAATTTTCAAGTTGAAGATCTTATCTATTTATTATATGAAGTGGGTAATTATCTATGAGTACCTATTGTTCTTCTCATTGTAGATATACTATTCAAGAGAGCAAGCTATGCTACTTCATAGTTTTCCTCTTGTCATCTTTTTTCTTGCGCCACTTCTCTTACGCTTTCCGACTTGGGGACTGACCTGTTGTTTTGCAACCTTTAATGATTTTCTTAAAGGTAACAAGCATACTTCAATTCTCTCTTTGGTTAGAAGAGTGGTCTTAAAAGCTTGTTTCTCTTTCCTGCTAGTTTAAAATGGTTTTTTTTTTTACTGTTATGCAGGAATGTTGTATCATACTTTTGCAATTTTGCTAGGAATTGTTTTTCCAGTTGCCTTTGCTGTCATAAGACTGCTGTTTTCTGGTCAGTCGATGAACTGGTATGTTTACTTACACATGAAATATCATTCTCCGGGTTTGTTGGAAAATTATTTTTTAAGGAAAAAGGTCATATTTGTCCTCCATTATACTTTGAAGTAAAAATACCCCTGATTTAATCCAAGTGGTTCAAATATAGGCCTCCTTCGTTGGGGCTGTCCAAGGTGGATACCCAATCGCATGTGGCACTGACATTTTGGTGAGATGGATGCCACATGACATGCCACCTCACCTTGCCCAACCCATTTTACCCCTCTCATTCTGCTGCTTCTTCCCCAGAAGAACAACTGAATAGGACTCTTTGGGAAAATATTTATCTTCAGATATATGAAAATGTATGTAACATTTCCATGGTTAAATTGAAGTACAAACTTCGTAGATCGAAAATGTGAGATCCATGGAGAACAAATGGAGAAAAGATGAAAAGTTTGAGTTCTCACAGATAAACAACACATACAAAGACATGGAGTAGCTGGACAAAGGAATGAAGAATGGAGAAAATCAATATATTTATTTGATGCAATGAGAAAATTCAGAAAGGAAAAATAATTCGTGACTGAAGATTCTGAGGTTCTTGACTGAAGATTTCAAGATTCTGTAGAAGACATAAAAGGAAAACAACACAGATAAAGCTCAGTAAGCGAAGATCTCACGAGGCGCAAATTATTACGAAGATTCAAAGCTAAAAGAAGGAGAAAGTTGTAGCTTATGCTTTGCTATGCTGCATATCGGGATAAATTGAAGGAGCAAATAAATATGTGTTGTCCTTTCTTTTCAATTCCAATAATAAAGCTCAAAAACCATAGATGATTGCTTGATAAAATTTACAAACAGAAATGTGGTTCTGATCTTTAATGCACCAAAAAATTCATGACCTTATGCTCTTTTCTGCATCCATATAACTAACTTGAATTGCATTCATTTCTCCCATCTTCGCATGACCATAAGTCCAAGTCTCCAGTCTTCAATACTTTTACGGAAGAAGTGAAGGTGAAGGGGTAAAGTGGGTTGGGGGCAGTGAGGTGGCATGCCACATAGCCTTCATCTCACCAAAATGTCAGTGCCAAATGGGATGGGGCGTTCGCCTTGGATAGTCCTAACGGAGGAGGGGTATATTTGAGCCATTTGGGTAATTTCAGGGGTATTTTTGCATCGAAAGTATAGCAGAGGGCAATGATTTTCTCCAGGTCAAATTTGGCCCTTTTCTTTTTTAAAAAATTGTGTTTGACTGTGGTAAAATTTTCCGTCACGAGTTCAAGCCGTGGAAACAAACTCTTGCAAAAATGAAGGTAAAACTGCATATGATAAACCTAATGTGTTTCAGCCCTTTTTAGGCCCCCCACGTAGCGGAAGCTTAGTGCATCAGGCTGTCCGTTTTATGTTTGATTGTCTGATTTTCTACTCCATGACAACGATATTTTGATTACTTTTACACTTATAGCTTGTTTGGCCAAGCTTCTTTTGAGGCAAAAGCGCTTTTTTCTGGTCAAAAGTGCTTTTTTTTTTCTTCTAAAATTAAGGTGTTTGGCCAAGCTTTTGAAAGAAGAAAAAGTGCTTTTGAGGAGAGGCAGAAGCAGTTTTGTAGAAGCAGAAAAAAGTAGCTTCTCTCCAAAAACACTTTTGAGAAAAATACACCTAGAAGCAGTTTTTTAAAGCTTGGCCAAACACTAATTGCTGCTCAGAAGTGCTTATCAAATTAATTAGCCATACACAAACTGCTTCTCACCAAAAGTACTTTTGAGAAAAACACTTTTAAGAAAAAGCACTTCTCACATTGTATTTATGAAAAATTCAGGTGCTAACCTGAAGGAAAATTTTTGTGGAAGCTGTGGCTATTATTTCTCTTATGCCCATTTCATTATAATATGAATATCTTATTTTATATATATATATAGAGAGAGAGAGAGCCGAGGGTCTACCGAAACAACCTCTCTACCTTCTTGTAGGTAGGGTAAGGTCTGCGTACATACTACCTCCCCAGACCCCATTACACCGGGTTTGTTGTTGTTGTTGTTCTGTATGCTCTCTCTATATATAACTGGAGACATGTTTTATGTAACATAAAGACACCAGCCAAATAAATGTTGCATGAGTGGAATGCCTCAAGTTGCTTCTAATTGTTGGCCCTCAAATTCTCCTATCAAATTGTTATCATTTTCTTGCTTTATAAAGGACTTAGATGTGCCACATCCTCATCAAGCTGCTTGTACTTTTACACCAACAAACAGAAGTTTTCCGCTTGACCGACAAATCTTCTGAAATTGTTTTCATGACTAGGTTTTCTACACCATATTTGGCATTCATGATGTTCATGCCCTGTTCACTTGCTGGGATGTTGATTCCAAGAATGCTCTGGAAAAGCTTCCCTTTGACTCAAGATGTTTCTGTCGTGAAGTTGTCAAAAGAGGTACAACTTTAATCTTTTTAATATTGTTTTGGCAAAGATTTCTGCTTTTCATATATATGTTTTTTTGTTTCATCTTTTCCTTTTTTATAAATATGTACCCTGACAAAGATCTATCCTGTTCTTCATTTCACTCATTATTTCATTTTGCTCATTACACTGTGAACTGATTTTTATATAATTTTTTGGTAATTCTACTGCACTTTTTGACAGCCCTTAGAGAATACTTTGGATTTCAAAACGGTAAAACGAAGAAAGCAAGCTGATACATTCTGCTTATTTTAGAACTACTTGGATATATTGTGTCATGATTTTTAATTGGTGTCTAAAAACAGCTAATAGGGTGTTTGCCATTTAGCTATTCAATCTTATTTTGTGATGAGTATTAAGAATGCGAATGAGGGAGAGGGGAGATATGGGCAGAGTAGGTTAGGTAACACCTCATTTTCTTGTTAGTTAATGCTGGAGGGGATTTTCTTTTGCCCGTGCTCGCACCCGGGGTGGGGGGGATTGGATTTTTGGAGAAATTTAAGTGTTAAGTGCTGCGTTAATTTCCAAATTCTGNTATGCTTCTTCCATGAGTTATATAGAGATTTTATTGGCAAAATTCCATATATGTGGAGTTCACAAGATTTATGCTTATATTGCAGAGATCATGGCAATGATTGACTTTCTTTCATCTTTCTTTTTTTTTTCCCTCTCTAGGAACTAGTTTTTGAAGCTAAATTTTGGGGAGCATTTGGGCTGTATTCCATTTTAACAGTGGTGCGTAATATTTTTTCCAGAAGTTATCTGCATTTAATACTCTTCTTTTGAGGTTGATTGACTTTGTCACCCGGTTTTTCCATACTTGGTGAAGTGTGTAAAGAGGGCCAAATTTAACCCTCTACGTTAGGATAGTCTATATTTAACATTCGTTATACTATCAGGCCAAATTTACTCCTACCATTAGCGAACTTTTTAAAAATTATCCCAGCCCTTATAGTAACCCACAATCTCCCAAATCCCTTTTATTTAAGGCACCCATTCTTCTCCTTCATCCACCGTTTTTAGAAATCACCATAAAAAAATACACCTATAGATGTACTTTCTTATTGCTAAGACATGAAGGAATGTGAAATCGAATGTTGGATGTTAAAGATTTA